GAGGGGGGGCTGCGTGACCCGCCCCGCCCCTCTGGGCACTGGGCTTGGGGGTGTGGTGGCCGCCAGCCCAGCCCCTTTCCCAACAGCCCGACCCCCGCCTTCCCTCTGCCCCTGCGTAGCCAACACGGGGTCGTTCCTTTCACCCGTTCCCAAAACCCTTGGAGGACCCCAGCCTGTCCCCCAGTTGCGCCTGGTGACCTCCCCGCCCATTCTCGCTGCAGCCACTTTGGCCTTCCATCATTTCCCAAATCAACCAACTTCCCTTCACCCCCACCCCGCGCCAGGGCCTTCTCATACTGCTGGTGTCAGTGCTTGACCCCCAGTCTTATATCAACTTTATAATTACACCTAATTCCTTTTTTTTCCCAGGGGACCCTTAACTCATTCAAATTATTTTATTTATGTGGTTGCCTGTTGTCAAGCTTGTTGTGAGAATGTAAACTCCATAAGAGCAGGGAAGCCTATCCCTTGCTGCCACCCCAACCCAAAGTTTAACCCGTAGTAGTCACTCTGGCTCTAGAGCCAGACAGAACTGGGTTCTAGTCCCAGCTCTGCCTGCTTGTTAGCTGTGTGTTCTTGGGCCACTCCCTTAACCTCTCTGAGCCACAGTTTTCTCACTCATAAAATGGAAGTCATAACGCCCTCCTGCACAGGGCCACTGTGAGGATTAACTGAGAGTTTGTGTTTAAACCCTCCAAACATGAAACTGTTCACTCAGCTTTGAAAAGGCCTTTTACCTTTGGGAAGTTACACAGCTTCTGTGGAGCCCGGCTGGGGCAAGACTGTGGGCTGGGGCCTGTTTGGGAGGATTCAGTAGAGGTTAAAGGACAAGGGGAGAGGGGGTGGACATGGTGCATGGTCAGGCAGGCACACGACCTGGCTGGGCTCTGCCACCAGCCCCAGTGACCTTGAACAGCTCTCCTCCGCTCTTTGTGCCTTAGGATTACTATCTACATCATGAAGTTCAGAGCTGCTTAATCCTTTGAGAATATGCTCTTTCTCATCATTCCAAAAAACCCCTAGTATCCATTGAACACTCACTCCCATTTCCTCCCTCTCTCTAGCCCCTGGCAACCACTAATCTACTTTCTGTTTTTATTGATGTGTCTCTTCTGGATGTTTCCTATAAATGGAATCATACAGTATTTGATCTTTTGTGCCTGCCTTCTTTCACTTAGCGTAATGTTTTCAAGGTTCATCTCTGTCGTAGCATGTAGTACTCCAGTGCTTTTCGTGGCTGAATAATATTACACTGCACATCACGTTTTGTTTATCTATTCATCTGTGCATTTGATTTTGCACATGATTTTCCATCTAATTCCAGGGATTCCCTGAAGTTCATTCACGTGCCCCTGGGGTGGGGTGGGTTGAGATCAGCATGCCTTCGTCACAGAGCTGGGTTGTCTGAAAGTGGGTTTTCAACTCTAATGCATGTGCCCAGGGGATAGTGATTAATCGCAACTTGGAAAAGGCAGAATGGATATTAGGGGAGCCTTCTTAGAGGAGGAGCGTTTGAGGTGGGCCTCTAAAGAGTTCAACAGGCAGGTTGGGCAGCAGGCATTCCACGTAAGGATACTGCAGAAGCCAAGACCCAGAGTGGATGAGACACAAGTTTGAATTCAGGGAACAGCATCCTTTAGCCACCATAGCTTTAGTCTCCTCCCAGCTTGGCAACAGTGAGCAACCTCCTCGAGCCCGGGGAGGAGGAAGTGGCAGGGTTGATAGAGGACAAGACGTCAATTATTGCTTCATGTCTCTGTTTATTTCCACCCGGCCAGGTGCCGGACATGTCCTCAGCTCCTCTTTGCAGAAGCTAAACAGCCTCCCTAAATAGTAAGTGTGTTTCCTGCACCAGTTGCATCATCCCTTTCCAGGGACAGCCACCCTCCAAAGCCTGAGGCTGGGGTGAGCTGCTCTCCAGCCCCTCACAGCTAGCTCACCCCCTTCACATCTGGCTCCCTCCTCCAGTTCATCCTGTCACTTCTGCCTCACCTCCACTTGCATACCTGGCCATCTCCCCTGTCATCTGCATCCCAAGCCCTCCACCTGGCCACCCCCCCCCACACACCCACACCTGACTCACTCTCGACATCTGGTTCATTCCCCTCAATCCAGCCACTATCCCTCTTAAACAACCCATCGCACCATTACTCTCCTTACTAGACCTTGCTCAGCTCACATGGAGCGGTAATCTTCCGTTCTTCTTGGCCCTGGAATCAGGCCACTGCTGGACTCTGTTTCCAGAATGGCTTGATTTCCGCCTCAGGGATGAAATTGCTCTTATCCCCTTCTGGAGGCCACAGAGAGTAGGTGTTAGGAGCAAGGGGGGACTTTGGTGCAAAATGTGGGTTTGCATCTCAATCGTGCTGCTTCCTAGGCCATCTCCCTGCTCCTAGAGTGGGGAGAATGCAAGTCTCAGAGTTGCCGTCCCCTCTAACCGTCTGTCTCGTCCTGTTTTGCTATGCTCAGAATCTTTACCCCATACTTCTGTATGGCCTGTCTTTCCCCACTAAAGCACAGGGCCTGGGGGAGCAGGGGCCTTGCCTGTGCGATTCACGGCTATATCCAGTCTCACCTACTTCCCTTACTGAATGGCCTCAGGACCGCTGCCTTCATCGACTTCCCCGGATCAATGCAAGCAGAAAGAAAAAAGTTGTGTAAGTACTCTGAAAACTGTACAGATGAAAGGCATAATTGTTCAGGCCCAGAACACTCAACTCCACTAGACAATTTCTCTTTGCGGTGGGCAGAATAATGGCTCTCTAAAGATATGCAAGTCCTCACTGCCGGAAGCTATGAATTTGTTATCTTACAGAGCAAAAAAGGACTTTGCAGATGCGATTGATTCTGAGATGGGGCGATTATCTGGATTATCCAGCTGGGCCCACTGTAATCACAAGGGTCCTTATAAGAGGGAGGCAGGAGGGTCAGAGTCAGAGGAGATGTGATGATGGAAGCAGAGGTCAGAATGATGTGGCCATGAGCCAAGAAATGCCGCAGCCTTTAGAAGCTGGAAAAGACAACGAATGGATTCTTTCCTAGAGCCCCCAGGAGGAAGACAGGTCTGCTGGCACCTTGATTTGAGCCATTTCAGACTTCTGGTCTCCAGAACTCTAAGATTATAAATTTGTGTTGTTTTAAGCCACTACATGTTACGGCAGCAACAGGAAGTTAATATAGACAGGCATATAAACACTGTTTCAAATCTGATTCTCCAACTCTCATTTTCAATATTCCTTCTCAGTTAATGAAATCTTCTGTCCTTACCAGGTTAGCTCAGGACTCCCACATTATCATTAAGTAGATCACTGCTTATCTGTCTCGAGTCCCATTTTAGCAGAGCATGCCAAACTTGACGCATCCAAGTTCAAATCCCAGCTCAATCTAGCTGGGTGACGTTAGACTAGGTCATAACCTCTCTGAGTCAGTCTCTTCTATGGCAAAAATAGGGAGCTGTGAGAATTAAATATGAGACCACTCAAAAACGTCTTTCACAGAAATTAAGGATCGTGTCTAGGTTGCCAGATAAAATACAGAAGGTCCAGTTAAATTTGAATTGCACATAGAACAAATTGTTATTTTTAATTTAAGTATATCCCATGTGATATTTGAGACACACACTAAATACTTATTCATAGTTTTATCTAAAATTCAAATGTATCTGGGTATCTATCTATATTCTTGTTGGCTAAATCAAGCAACCTTAGTCTTGAAAGCAAGAAAAACTAAGCCTCAATCTGAGATCTTTAGACCCCAAGGTCAGTGAGCATCCTGCTCCATCATAGGCCTGACCTCAAGTAGACTAGCTGGGCCACATGGCAGCCCTGAACCCACAACCCAATTGAAGCTTC